CAACGTGGAGAGAATGAAGCTTTTTTCAGTTGTTTATTCAATCCGAAAAATTCAATAATTTGGAAGAAGAAAACAATATATTTCTGTCATAAATACCAGCAATTGTTTTTCACAACGAATCGACAATCAATTTAACGAAATTGCAATTTCTCTGAAAAAAAAAACAAAAAGAGAACTAATTGCCTTGTGGTACACAAATACAATAAGCATCCTAAAGGGCTTAGAGCAATTGGCTAATAACGTCTAAGTAAAAGCAAAACAGTTTACCTACAGTTCTTGAGGTATCTGGTATTAGAGAAATTAAAGCAAATAAGATTACCTTATATATAATAATAACGTAATTATTTATAAATAAATGGTTTTTCATCTATTAACACTTAATAATTAAGCCACTTGCGTAAAAGATAGGACTACTAAGTACATCAGGGAGCATAAATGCATACGTTACGGCCGTAATATTTCATTGGCTAACTTGGCTTCTTTCATTGCACAAATACGAATTGAGGACCCAACATACCTGTAGATGAATATTTTTTAATATTTTTTTTTTTTTTTTTTAATGGACGAAGAAAAATTGAAAGGCTTGGCTGGAAAGGTAGGCATAATCTATGTACATTTTAAAAATAAGTAAAATTAAGAAAATAATAATGTATTGCTTTATGCATTCACAAAGACACGAGTCTGAAGCAACATGTTATGGAGGAAAAACAAAACATTTATAACACAAAAGAATACAACAATTATAAGTGTTTACTAAACATAAAAAGGCTTTTAGATTTAAAAAAAAAAAAAAAAAAAAAAAAAAAAAAAAAAAAAAAAAAAAAAAACTCAAATTTTTATAGATAGTAGACAAGGACGCTTTGGTCTGTATATTTTTATATGGAAAGATAAAACACAATACATAGGGAAAGAGTCGCAAAACATTTCAATAGAGGGAAACGAAGCTAAATGATCAATTGATTAAACAGACAATATGTGAACGGTGCATAGAGCATGGTAAACATTTTTAGAATCACTAACTGCCTCAGTTCATTTTAACATCGAGAAATGTGTAACAAAGATTTAGTAACGTATAAGCATTATTTACTTAATTGACGGCTACTGGAATAAACAATGCAGTTTAGGTTAAAAAGTGGATGTGATTTAACTCCAACCTTATGACCATAACAACAAAAAAAAAAAAAAACGGAATATATACATATATAAATATATATAAATGTATATATATATATATATATACTTTTCAATAACCTATAACTTATAGCGTTTGCTAGTCTATATCAACCATTTGATTATCATACTCACAGTGATTAAAAATGAATTTGCGATTTTCATTAGGGCGAAAATTTTACACTTGAAGCATGATAATACAGTTCGTTCGCACTTATTTAAAAATACATTTTACACCTGGTTTAGCGATTTGGTTTGTTACTGCACCTGTACTCGGTTGGTTTCGACAATAGACAAATAAATCAAGTTTCGAAAGCATAAACAACTCTCCAATGAGGTTATGACGGTGTTCACTAGTATCGTGTACAGTTTTTACATTTCATTTTTATTACAATTTTTAAAGTCGATCAGCCGTACAAACAAATATTAAAAGTACTCTTCAACGTTGTAACATTAGAGTATACTCGTAGATTGTAATTAATTGCAGGGTGTGATACTTTAATTAGATACCATAGCACCATGTGCTGCCTATAAAATCTTTCTCTCGGTTATTGTATTTTGATTTTCAGTGAACTGTTTGTTGTTGTCTTGAATGTTTTTTCTAACGGTCACCGTTATAATAAAACTGCCGCCAGTGATTTTTTGTTGTGTGTTCACATACACACACACACACACAAACACACACACACACACACATGTAGATGAACATATGCAGATGAACATATGTCTTTTTATATTCACTCAAGCGCCCAAGCGTATATAATACTTTAGTAGGATAAACGTATGAGGAAAAAAGGAAAAAAAAAAAAAACTTGAATTCAATTATGCCAACAGTTTTCAAGCAGAACTATTTTTAGATCGAAAACTATGTAGAAGAAAATGTGAAACGAAGGGGACGAAAAAATATAACTTCTAAGCCGTAAACTGTGTACACAGCATGTTTTCACAGAGGCTTTCAAATGAAGTTATCGTGATCACATTTTCTGTTATCGATGGCTATCGAAATAAACGGAAAAGGCAAAAGGATAAAAATTTTAAATTTCACGCCCAAGGTAGCACCTGAAGCATCGAAACTCCAAGAAGCTTTCAATAATTGGACAGAAGCTTGAATAATTTTTTTCTCGGTGCTTTTGCTCAATTTCTTAACACCTTCCATGTGTATGTGTGTTTTGTTAACGTAAATATAGGAACATCTATTAAGGGGGAAATACAGTAAATAGTTACACCAATTATCGGACAGGCACATCGATGGATGTACGGACACACTGAGCAATATTGTAATAAGAAAACGGTCACCCGCTCTCATGACAATTGCAGAGAACAACACCTGCAACGACTCGACTAAAATTGAGAAACATTGACTAAGGGTTTTTGATGCATACAAGGCACAATTCGGATTTCAAAAAAGGGTTCGTGAAAGTCACTTGTTGAGCATTCCCGGAATGTCCATAGTGACGGCATAATGATTTTAACAAAAGATTAACCAAATAATCAATCAAACAGAACAAACTTGTATAAAATACATTTCCGATGTAAATATAATTTGTTTGAATTTTAGTGGAAATCGGCACGAGGTTATTTAGTATAAATTTATTCATAAGAATGCAAACTGACTATCGTACTAACTGACACTGCCTTCACCAGTAGATTTAGCAAACTCTTTTGACCGCTCACTATATAATTTATGAGAATTCTGATGCTTGCCTTTTAGTTCTGCAAACCGAATGAACGCGTATTATATGGGTAATCTCAGAAGTGGAGGACCTGGCAAAGAAAGTGTACTTGTGTATATTCATGATTTCAATTTGCTCCGTCACTAGAAAAACGAACAACAGCTAATTGCTGGTGGTAGAGAAATCTATCAATTTCGTATCCAATCCTTTTCTTGGCATTTACTCAATACATATACATATGTATGTGTAAATGTTTTGTAAACAATCTTAAACAACACATATAAAACAAAATAACTTATGATAACTTGGTATAACAACACTTCGCAGAACAACTACAAGAATTTAGAAACAAAAAAAAAAAAAAAAAAAAAAAACAAATAGAAACAAGCCACACACATTATTATTTCTCTGAGTCTCGTAAATATGTTTCTTGTTTGGATAGCTTTGCTTGCTTAACCATATACAATAATAACCATAATAAGTGTTATGTGCAAAGTTTTCTTGTATGTAGAACATTAAATAGCAACTGAAGCATTCATCATACGCACCCATTACAAATCACACTGAACTGAACGAACCAAACACTCGTTGACTGCTGTTCGCAGTCATACAAAATTCTTGTTATCGGTGAAATTGTTGCTGTGTTTTAACATGTAAATTTATTATACGGCATGTATATATTATACATCGCATACACATACATCAATTTCTGTAAAATTGACATTAAAATCAGTTGCCGCCTTGAATATCTTTATGTTTACTTGTTTGCCTAAACTACATGTACTGTAATTGTTTTGCATGTAAAATAAGCACAAATTAAATCTGTTCAAAATGATATATAAAATGTAGTCAAATTTATTATTGTTATTATTATATATATATAAATAATGGAATTAGTAATAAATTTAATTTGCAACACAGGTGTCAATATACCAATAACTACTTATGTTTTTATTAACTCGCTTAGAGATCATTTATATATAAATTCAACATAATTTATAATATTACGAAATAATAGATTAAAAGTTGAGAAATCTTTTCATGCTAAGAGGATAGAAAAGTTGAAAAATAAGTTTTTAATTGTAGTTATTGTAGTTATGGCTTCAATCATTTACAACAAATCCAATGGAAAGAATTCAATGAAAATTATTCGAAAAGGAAACAAGACGAGTGTAGACGTTAAGTTGCCTAAGAGAAATTGTTGTGATTGTCCTTTCTTAACTGTTAGAAGCTTTCAAGAGGATTTAAGCTTGAATTAGATTTATTATGAAGACAACCTTCTTAGCAGTAGTAGATTTTCTTACGCCACAAATAGGAACGCTGTAAAGACCTCTATGTGTGGATGAGCATCTCTCACTTTATTGTAAACGACATTTCCTTCTTTCTATTCCATGGCCCTGTCTTATCTTTAATGATCGATCGCCTTCTAAAAGAAGAAAATTTCAGTATATTAACGCCAGCTACCAACATTCGAGGTCTTAGGTGTCCAAGCAGAGCCAACCATTTAAACGTTAATTGTAGGCGTGTTAGTAAACCGATCGAGACAATTTGTGGTACGAACATGAAGTCATCCCTGGCAAGTTAATAGTTTGTGGAAATGTGTTTATGAGATCGAAAGTTTCGAATATAGACCTGATGTTACCTTACCTTAAGACTACACCTTATAAAATTGCTTTTCAACCAAAAGTTAGATCTACTGACAGACAACACTAGGTAGCAGACAAACTGGCTTAATCTGTTTAAATAGATTCGTTACCGTATTTACTTCACCACTGTAGACACAACAATAAAAATCTGCTTGTTAACGCTTGTTAATGTTGTGTCATTGCGGTTATAGAAGGAGATAACTAAAGCTAACTAAAGTAAACCATTTTCAGTTAAATTAAAATGTAATAAATGAGGGACTTCTTCGACTAAAGTAAGTGATTGATAAGGTGCCTTAAAATAAATATGAGGACGTCTTTCCACGAACATGAGTTTTTAACTTTTTCTGATCACGTGTGTGGTATACGGACCTTTTTTGTATGCAGTTCATAAGCATTCTTATCGAAATAGTTATTTTATGGCTAATCTATTGCAGTATATTGGTTTTTTTTTTTTTTTTTTTTTACTTTGATGTTATCTAATCACTTAGTCTATTTTCTTTTTTATTCACAGGCTCATCGCATCGACTTGAAACCCAGTAAATGAATTCACATTGAATTCAAGTAAAATCAAACCGTCAACAAGGAGAAAGAATCAATCGGTTGTTGAACTTCAAAAAACCGCTCCGGTAAGTAGAGAAATTGTTACTGTTAGTGACATTGTTGAAATTAGCTTGGTTTACCCTCATTGCTTTTCACATTTGCCAAATGGAGACAATAAATAATTGCCTATGTGGCAGTAAAGCGTATCAAAAATGAAAAAAAAAAAGAAGAAAGTTACATTAATTTGCGTAAAGTCGTTTTGAAGAGTTCGGAAACTAATAAAGTGACCTCATCACGTATGCGGACACCGTATAACAATCTATCAATCACTCAAAAACACAGAAACACTAACTCATTCTGATAATAAAAATGCATTACATTCGGTTCTAGACGAATTTCCTGTCCTTGCAATGTTTTCTTTTAATTTTTCGTTTCTTTCTAAAATGATTTTTCATACGTACTAAAAATAAAACGCATTCAATACTTGTTTTAGAAATTTTACCACAAATTCCCTTTAAAACAAATAAGTTAGTTAATGCTGAAGTAAAGGAATGTAAGGATGAGACATACACAATGGCTTACTTGACAACTAATATACATAAGCTTATGCAAAAGTTTAAAAAAATGGAATTTTTTCATTCCGTAACGAACGCTAAGATTCGAAATTTGCTCACTTTGAATCAATCTGATTTTCTCATTTCTGCTGCTGATAAGAATAATAGAGAATCAGTTCAGCATAATCAGTTAGATGATGGTAGTAAAATTTCTACCTTAGCAAGTGTACAGACGGGCGGACATACCCGATTACTGTCCTTGTTTGAAAACTTAAAGGCATTCGATGCGTATTTCCATGAAGTAAAGAACTTTAAATATATGAGAAAAAATGTACATACCTTCCACGACTAGTGAAAATAATTTGAGCTTAGATTGCAATGCCAAACAGATGATGTGTTGTACTATGCCACTTAACATTGTTTTCTTCGCATGCTGTTCTAAGCATAAAGTTTCTACAGCATTGACAACCGGCACATGAAAGCTTTTAAACAAACCGACTTGATTGTTATGTGGTTGCACACAAAATGCCACCAACACTGTTACAAAATATAACAAATGTTGAAACATATACATACATACATAAATACATACATACATACAATATATGGGCTTGCAGTAGCCATACATTCGACATTCTGTTCGCTCTGCAATTTTATAAATTCATACCAATATATTATAAGCAACAACAGCAGCAGCAATGACAGCAACAACGGCAACAACATCGATGTCACATCAACAAAAACAATGGCAACAACAATATCAAGTGGTGGAGTACTAATAACCATTTGTGCCATTCTACATATTTTCGATGAACATAAAATGTCCTTTTGTTGTAATATTAAACTTTAAAGGTATTTAACTGCACTTATTGCGAAAATATCTAATTTCAGTGTAAAAATTCTTTACATTGCATGTCATGTCATGTCATGTATTGATGGCATTAGAGGTATTTTAAATGTTGACTAAGGAAACAATTAAAGTCTGTTGTTGTCATTGTTGTTGTTGTTATTATTATTATTATTATTATTATTATTATTATTATTATTGTTTTCATTTCTGCTTTATAAAGCTGGAAATAATGGTATTGTGGTTTCGTTTAAAAATCGAAGGCGAATTCTTCATGTGAGTGTTTTCAGTTAATTTCAAACTGTTGCTGCTTGGCTTAAATTTTAACTAATCTTTGATGAAAATTTCCGTACTTTTAAAGCCATCTCAGCTTTGTTTCTGCTTTACATTCAACACATAAGGTTAACTAGGAGGAAAGCTAGATTTTTCCAATTCAAAAGTCCTACGAAATGGAGGTGGGCTTTGGAATCGATATTTCTCATACCCTTTATAACCCGATAACCGCCTAGTAGTTTTACCCTAGCACTATTCCAGTGCTGTGAAGATTCGCTTTTTTCTATTTCCCTGCCTGCCTTTCGAACATCTCGTTGTTCGACGCCACTTCAAAAATTCAAATTTATCAGATATGTACGTATTTTTGGACACATAATGTGGCAGCAACCGGCAGAAAAAAGACACAATTATAAATTTAACGGGTTGCGAGAGCAAAGAATGAAACATGGTATGCATGTTGTTGTAATAAATGTAATATTACCTTTGCAATTATTGATGCGAAAGATAAGCAGAATTCATCCCATTGCAAAGTTGAGTATAGCGCCGTCCAATGGTAATTTATACAAAGAATTTTTTCGTGTTATCCCTCTAGGACGCTTTCCTTTTTTTTGCGCGCAACGCATCTAATCGATTTAACTCTATTCGTCTTCATACATGTTCGTTTGTCCCTTATATGCATATATGAGCCGTGCAAGGTACTTAGTCAATTTAATTCAACGCTTCGCTCGATCCATCTATCCCTTTATTCTGTGCCTTTAATATATTTTCTTGATAAGCCTTCGATTTTTAGTTCAATTAATTCTAAGATTTGTTCCGTGTGCCAGCTTATTGCCCGCGTCTAGCTATCTGCCTCTATTTGATTGCCTGTCTCTTAGGCTTTATATGTTCTTGACTGCCTTTCTTTCTATTTCTCACTTGTTTTCGGAGCTGATTTGTACACCACTGAACATCACTCACAATCGCGCCCGTCATAAGTAAAAATCCATTAATTACATGATCCTAAAGTTGGAAAGTTGAGACCGCTATACGTTAACGATCGCTTTAACATTCGCGAAGCAATAGAAAAACCTTCCTTTGCAGAGTTCTATGAACATTTCACACTTGCAGAATCTAATTATTACATTTTGGAAAAAAAAACATTACCCAAACATAACACTAAGAACATAGGACAACCATTGCTACTACCCTTTGCATCCACATTCGCAAGCCTTGGCCGGCCAACAAACGGCTTCTCCGTCACAGTATTACTCAGAAAAAGGAAAAACACTAAAAGCTATTTGAAGTGATTTTTTTTTTCTTTAGAATCTAAATCGATGAGTGTAGATGAAAAAGGAGAGTAGGCAGAGTAGGGCGATTTAATCTGAGTCAGTTATTTCATTTTTGAAGATCGAGGTCTTTGTTGCAAACGTTTGGTAAATTTAATATTGCTTTTGTGATGGGTGGAAAACTTTTTTTTGGCATTACTCCAACTAAACGATTTGGTGGGCACATCGCAATTTTTGAATATGCTGTCGTTAAAAAGGCACAACCAGAACAAAAAAAAAAAAAAAAAAAAAAATGTAAAAATAATAACAACTGCATTGCTTTATGGTCGACCAAATTTTTCATTATACTTCTATTCAAGTATTGTGTAGAAAATTTTAATTATAACATTTACCACATCCGCAATTGAAATTTGCATAAACATAAATATTATTTATATTATTATTATTTTTTGTTGTTATTTTGCGGACTATAAAATACGCAAATCTTGGAAAGTATGGCCGAAAATAAGCGGTTGGGGTCATCATTAGAGTCAGATTTTTACTTCAAAATCACTTCTATCTTACAAATACATATTTATGACACATATCAATGAAAGGCTATATAGTGTAACTTTTACTATGAAGTATCCAAGGTTGAAATTGATATATGATGTAACATAAGTGTTGATGCCAAGCGAAAGGACAAGCTTTCAAAAGAAGTTTTTAAAATGAGGAAATTACTACGAACGCCTACGTTAGAAGCACTGTTAAGCAATGTATTCATTTCTTCATAATGAGTCATAATCCTTTCATTTTACATCAACAATTAAATATTCCATCCAAAGTACGCAAGAAGATAGAGCGGCGATAAACGGGACTGAAATAAGTAACTAAGTATGTAATAAATCGAATTGCATATAAGTGAAAAGTTGCGTTAAATTGAAAAATTATCTATAGAATGCTTGTAGATGTTCTAACTAATGGTAGGTGAGACAGAAGGTGGAAGACAGAAAGTTTCAGTTTTATTTTCAAGCTTTTCGATTTTATAACGAAAAATATGTGTACTGGGGCGCCTGCCGGGCGTTCAAAAAAAAACTCCTTCTAAAATATGCTTTGTCTCTTAGCCTAATTGCCAAAGTGTTAATTCCGCAAAGTTATCCACCTAAGAGGTACACAAGATAATTTATGAGGACTTGGAATGAGATGAATTCTACGCAAAAGAGGAATCTTCTTGAACACAATGTGCTTAATGGGCGCTGTTAAATCATGATATGTTAACGGTTGTGTTGGAATATCCGATAGTAAGAACAATCACACACGCTAACTGATAGTATCTCATTAACATTTTTTATGTGAAATTTTTGAAATTTCAATGTTCCGCCAAGTAGTGAATAAGCAAATCGGCGGAGTACTTTACGTCAACGAGTTCGAATGACGAATTTTTCGAAGACATATGAATGCATATTCATTAGTCGATTCGATTTTCCTTAAGAAAATGATTTCAATAGTTTTCTTACTTGTTTTATTTACTCTAAGCTGCTGTTCGCTAAATAAAGCAGATAATCAAATTTTATATGTTCTTGTTTTACATAGAATCTCTCTATCATATCTAGTCTGTTGCATTGTGCATATGTATCGACAAAATTAATACACAATTACTCCTTATGATGACGAAGAAATAATTTTTTGATTAACTTATCGCCTGATTGGCAAACGTTATTAGAGAAAATTCCAGAAATATCTACAACAAGAACAAACATAAATAAATGAACAAACAATAAAATAAACAAATAGAGAAAATATTTAAAAAGAATAAAAAAAAGTTATATTAAAAAATTTTCGAAATTTTTTTTTTTTGATTAAGAGAAACATGTTGATTGTCACGACACTCTGATAGATGCAGTCAGTCGAAGTTGCCTGAAGAAAAAATGAAAACATTCAACCAATGTCTCTCAAAACTTGCATTCTTCGAAACTTTTATGCTTCGCACTCAAGCGTTTGCTTTGAATATTTAATCATTTTGAAGGAAGATTATCTTTGAAAAGTTTATATTTGAAATGTGAACACGTCGCCTTTTTCCCATCATCCCCGGAGACATGGTATTAAAAATGTTTAAATAAAAGCGATTTATAAAAACTCTTCAATGGAAAATTATCACTCAGCCTTCAGCCAACGAAGACATAAATAAGCAGTCACTCGATGCGTGTGTGTGTGTGTGTGTGTATATTTATATATATATATATATATATGTTTGGATTTATGTGTGTATAGCCGTTGTGGATTGCGTTGACATAACTTAATTATTTAA